AAACCTTATTTTGTTTTAAAAGCTACAGACTGAAGCATATGCAGATGTGACAAAGATCTCGTGGATGACTAAAAGATCCAAAAGAAGAAGAAATGTGCATTGTGTGAGTCTGCTTCGAATGTTTTGTTTCTCTGTCCCTCATTTTCCTGTTTCATTTGTTTGCTGCTGCTTTTGTTATTCACGTATGACTTGGTTTGCATAAACGCTGTGACCGTGATTGCGACGAGTGCGTAAACGTGCGCGCTGGATTTCACCAAACTACACGAATCAAAGACACTGATGATACCGTTCTGCTTATGAGGGTCTAACACTTCACCTAAGTGTTGTGGATAAACTCTTTACAATTTAAACGCATGTGCACCAAAGACACATTTTCTTTGTGTATCTCATTATGCTCTTTTTTTTTTTTTGACACAAACATCATACAGCAATACTCTAAATACTCTAATTTTCTTGTTCTATGTGTGTGTGATGGCCAGAGGTCTGTGTGGAAATGTTCAGAATTACATTAAAGTGTATTTTCTATTCCTAAAGTTGTATCATATTCCTGGTTTTAAGTTATATGTGACTGGTTATCTGTAAGTAACTATAAAGACAGGTTTTTAAAAGAAAAACCAAAGAAGGGAAGCCATAGTTCACAATTAGGGCACTGCTCTGGAAGCACCACTGTAATGGTAACAGTCACTGTGGTGCTTATCTAACAATCACGGTAGAAGTTGTACTGTTGCTGCCATACTTGAATCCACTGATCCATCATGCATTTTATTACTAGAGAGCAGTTCATATGTGCAATTTGGCAGCAGTTTGTGCTACAATGATTGCATTTCACATCAAATTGGGCAGGTTTTTCTTCCTCACAAACATAATGGGGGTAATGATCTGCATATCTGTCCTGCTGTCATCATTGTTTTTGTTTTTTGTGTAGTTTCTATTTTAGTTACTGGTACTTTTTCCCCCTCCAAAATGTAATTTCTCACTGTTTTAGGCTCTTCTTGTCTTTGAGGGGTTTGTGTAAGAAAAAAAAAAAAGGGAAATGTCTGTTTCTCAAATATAGACCTATATTTGACAGGGAGACGTAACCCTTATGCAGGAGGGGGTGTGAACTTGCAGTATGAGGGTGAGCACAGTTTCAGCCTTAACCAATAGCTTGACCTGTAATAAAGAGGCCTTTCCTGTCATTGCAAGCTTGTGTCGTCCCTGCTGTGTTGCCCGGTGTTTGATGTAAATGAAATGTGGACATGTCTTTTTCTCTTATAAAGCCGTTCTCAAAGGTGCTTCTGCAGTCTGTATGGTATGATTGTCCTGTTCCCAGCAAGCGTATGAAAGATAAACTTGTGTCTACAGTGAAACAATGCAGGTCTAATTTATGTAAATATGTTTTAAAATATGTACAATATTTAAATAAAGAACCTAGTATTTATACTAAACTTGTTTAGGTGTCTTCTTTATGCATATCATGTTTGAAGTAGTAACTTAACTCAAGGGATGAACAGGATAAGTCAATTACAATAACCCACCTATGTCCCCAAGAGGGACAAAAACCCTGTGGGAGTTTAAACCTCTGTGGGAGTGTCCCCCCAAGAGGGACAAAAGGGGGGTATACTCCCACAGGGTTTAAATGTGGGACTCTCCACCATTTGATCCTAGAACTGAAGAAGCTTCTTGGATGAGAGGTGAAATGTCTTCAAGCAACTTAAAGAAGTCCAGACGCTTTTTTTTCTAAGCTCCTTAGACTGAGAACCTTCACAGAGACGTTAAAGAAACTGTTGGACATTATGGACAGTGCTGGGCATCCTCTGCACACGGCCATAAACAGCCAGAGGAGTCTATTCAGTGACAGGTTGCTTCTTCTAAAGTCAAGGACCAACAGACTTAAAAATGCTTTTGTCCCACACGCCCTAACTCCTCGCTGGAGGGGAGAGGGAGGGGAAACATGGGGACAAAGGAGGGCGGGAACAACTAATCATTAGTGCCTTTTTCACTGTGCAATATTTCCTTTTTTTATATATATATATATATATCCAACGGTGTAATAGACTTGCAATAGTTGAAATGTGCAATTCCCTGGCATTCTTATTCCTATTTATTCTTATTTATCCCTGTTGTATACTCTGTATTTATATGTGTCTCTGTATTTATATGTGTGTATACGGTACATTTCTGCTCACATTCTGCAACTTCTGTTGGTGCTGTGTTAATGGAAACCGAATTTCCCAGAGGAACCCACCTGAGGGATAAATAAAGTTTCATCTAATCTAATATAACTTAACCTGAAACCCAAATACCTGATCGACCAGTCACGTGGCAGCAAGTTAATGGAAGTAGACATGGTCAAGACGTTCATACTGAGCACCAGAATGGGAAAGGAAGGAGATTTAATTTACTTTAAATGTAGCATAAATACACATAAAATACAGTTCTGCAAAAAAAAAAAAAAGATACTGCATGTCAACAAGTGTATTATATATGAGAACACATATGAATGTATAACACATTGTGCAGAGGGGTATTTTAGTGACACACTTTGGGCTCCTTAGTACCAACTGAGCATCATTTGATAAGCTGTGGCTTTGATAAGCCACAGCTTATCTGTTCGTGACTTTGTGTGTTTTTCTAGCCAGGTATGATTTTACTGCATTGGTGGTGTGACTGATCCACTATGGTACAGCCTGGTGGATAAAAATCTGATGGTTATTAATTCCATCGATTCTGACTGACTGAAATTCAGTCCCAAACCTATAGACAGTCACCTCCCACATACACACTGACAGTGACCTGTTGCTACAGATTCAATTCAGTTCTTGTGTAATATGGCAGACCTCCCTCTTCTCTTCCTGTTTCTCTTCTTAAGAATTGGCTTCTTGACAGTCATCCTTCCACTGAGACCATTTCCGAAGAGGCTTCAGTGAACAGCAGATGGCTCAACTAAGGGCTCAGATGCATTTCTCAGGTCCTATGTCAGGTCTTTGCTGGATTTCTTTCCTGTTTTTTAAGGATATGAATTTCAGATACTGTTCATCTGCTGTAGATAGTTTTTAGGCCTGACACATCTTCGTTTTTGCCCCTATTGTTTAAGAACACTTTAAGCACCATGCTGATTTATGCCATGTTTTCAACTATCGCTTCAGGAATCCCCTTGTCGATCCCAAAATACTGTTTTATGCCTGTCACACTGTGTTATTTCTTTCATTTTCTATAGATTCATCTCTAGAAATTGGAACAAATTACATTTTCCTAATAACAAAGTAGATAAGTATACAATTTTAAATTATTTTTATATTGTCTTATCCTGTTCATCCCTTGAGTTAAATTCCTTTCTATGTGCAAACATAAAATAGACACCTAACTCTTTTATTCTTGAAATATTCATAGGTTACAGTAAAGTGGTTTGACAAACAAACAAACATTTTCACTCTGGAAATGAATAAAAAAGGAGCCGATATCTTTGGAAGACTTTCAGAAAGCCCAGAGAACTATTGCTCAAGTCTGGCTCCTTGAAAGCAAAATATGAAGAAATGAGGGATGACTCATGACTTTTGCAGAAGTGAATGATTAAAGATGTGAATGCAGGGCGTTTTTGCATGTCTAATATTTTACTCCGTATTCTGCATCAACTAAGATTTTGCTGCTTCAGTGCAATGCAGTTATTACAATACAAGTTCTGTCTGAACTATTTGAAAGACAATGTCACCTCACTTGTAATTAAGATCAGATATAACGATTTAATGGAGCACTCATGCTGGTTGCAGAAAAATAACTTCCTGTGGTAATTGTCAGTGAGGGGAAATTGCTAACCGTACCTGCACGTGTGATTTCCAGCATTAGGTGGCAACAGGGAGTCACAAGATGCCATGGATGTTTTGTTTACTACGCTCTTCGGGGCAAGACAGCTTTTCTCTTCCTTGTAGCCAGCAGCTAACTCACATTCCTGCTGACAGCACAGAAACTAGGTGTGTGTCAGCTGACAGTTGTGTGATGCTAGCATAGTAACTTTGGGGGATTAGCAAACAGATGCTGAGCTGCTAATTAAGCGGTCATCGGGGTGCGATTTAGAGTGTGAGTGGAGCGTTAATTATGTGGGGGAGAGGGGGATGTACATAAAAAAATACTCAAGTGGCTGTTGTAGCGTTAGCGAGCTAGCAGCTATCTCAGTAGCAACCGTAGCTAGCAGGCGGCTCCCATGGACGGCGTTAAAGTGTCAGCTTTTCTTCTGAAGACCCTGTAGGCGGCTTACGCTAAGATAAATGTTGGCTCAATGGCCAGAACGGAGCTGAGCAATGGACTTAATTTGCGAGACAACCCGGAGAAGCTGACAGAAAATGGGACGGGCTCCTCGCACGGATTAGACCCAGAGGTAAACGGCAATGTCGTCCCCGGAGAGACCCAGGTGGACAAGTACGGATTCACAGGAGGAGCCCAGCAATACGCTGGAGACTCGTAAGTGTC